CACACACACACACACACACACACACACACACCAAATTTATTTAGATTTAGATTTAAGTTTATCAAGTTCATTATTCTTTGGGAATTCTACATTTTACAATTGGGCTATTTTTTGTTTGTTTTCTTTTTCCTCTTGATGACAACTGTGGCTTCTTCTATCTCTTAGAAATTTCTTGTTTCATAGGTGGATGGACTGAACTTGTCTTGGAGAATATGTGACTCTGACTTTGTTATATGTGTTTCCAAGGAACCTAACCTAATGATAAATCTTTTCTGAAGTAAATTAATCTGGAGAAACTATTAGATTTCATTATGGAGAGTAGGTCTTCATAGACCAAAGCATTACCAACAAGTCTCCATCAGTTAACTAAATAGAACATTCTTGTTTTTGCACCACATATGTGATCACAATTACTTAAGATGATAGGTATATTTTACTTTGTATTTGGATATATCAGAAGATAGAGTGTAGCTGTTCAGAAACAAAAGTTAAGACTTGTTTTATACAAATAAAACTCATAGTGGGTATCTTATAGCATAGTTGGAATTTTCTCTTTTCCTCCCAAAGTACCTTTTTTACCTGCTTGAGGTTATTATTATCATTTTCATTATCTTTACCATTATTGACTTTTGTCTATTTTTTTTGTTTGGTAGTGGTTTTCTATTTGACTGTTTTGTTTCATTTCATTCTTCTAGTAATGGTCTTTATTGGCCAGCATAGCTGTTTTTTCATGAGAAATAAACTGTAGGTATGGGTATGTGGTTCTTAGTAATGATATTAAATACTAGATTTATTCATCTTTCATTATATTTTTTTAGCCACATAGATTTATAGTTGGGCTGTCTTTGAAAGTGAGAAGCAAATATAGAGTAAATTAATGACAGTATGAATTCTAAGTCTACCTGCAAGAAAGAAAGGAACAAAGACACATCAGTATTTCTGGAGTTCCTAAACCATCAAGTAGTCTTTCCCTAACATCATTGAATATTAAGTAAATTGATCTGACCTTTGTACATACAGTAAAGAGTTCTTTCTCCCCAACCTGATTACACTTTTCTACAATTACCACCTGTTAGTGCGTACATGCAGAGAATGATGGATCAAGTTGTGGAGCTTTTATTTCTTAGTCTTTCCAAGTCATTGTTTTCCTAAAGATAGAGCGAGTTGAAGTCAGTAGATATTTTAAACAGGAACAGATGTGTGCCATGTGCATTCATCCACCCCTCTCCATGTGGGAAGATCAGCCTGATGCTTTGACCTGTGAGTGGTTAAAGACACAATTAGAGACACTTTTGTAAATGGACTGTTATGTAAAGCTAATGCTTTGGCTTGATCACTATTCTGTCTCTTACAGCAGGTTGCCACTTTTCTGAAAAAGGTTGTGAACATCCAGGAGAAGTATACTAAAGAATGGAATTGATTAATGTGACATATTTGAGGGTTTTTCCTACCATTCTCTCCCCAGTAAGTCATAGAGAGACAGCTTCAAACACGGTGAATTAAATTTAAATTACACAGCCTTGGCTAGAAGATTGTTCAGTTAATTCCCCTTCGAAAATGAAATTTGATTTTCCCCCTTATAGTTGAACCACTTTCTGATTTTTCATACTGTGATGATTTTCTGCCAAGGTGTCCATGGATTTGAGATCTTTTATTCACAAGACTAGACTGGTTTCTAATTTTTGTAGGAAAATAATAAATGAAAATGAAGAATACATATGCATATTTATTACAACAGGAAAAGTATATTAAAAACTAAAATGCAGCTTTACAAGAATGTTGTATTACTATAATGATTTTTTTTACTAAAAGAATGTTATACAAGATTTTATCCTGTGATATTTTTTGTTCTTTTATTTATTATGAGATAAAATACTGAGGACATTACATTCTTTGTTTGTGGTGAAATTATTCCAAAAGAAAATAGCTTGAAAGGCAAATTTGACTGGAATCATCTGAATAAGTGGATCTGTACTAAACAGTAGCTACTAAGTCACAGATTGGCAGCCCATGAGTTTAATTTAAGAAATAACCCTCTGTATTCATATTTAATGTTTGCCTAAGTCACAAGTTGAACCCACACTATCAGAGATGGTGATTTCATGCAAAAAGGATCACAATAACTACTATATATGTAAACACTAACATGGGCTCTTGGGATGAACGTAATTTTTATGCAGAACTTTCCATTTAAGATATACAACTGTATTATTTATAATCAGTGCAGAACAATTCCAAGTCATGCTACTTTCATGAAATATCAAAAACCATGTTGAGTACATGAATGTTTTTGATGAACATTTAAAAGTTGTTTTTCTCTAGATTCTTTTTCTGGAATGATTTAATCCTTAAAACAACAGACCTTTTAAACCCTCCATTTCTTTTTTTTCAGGTAAGAAAAGTAAAGCATAGAACAGGTTTAAAATTGTCTTAATTTTGGCACAATTGACGTTTTAGAGAAAAAAAATTTTTTGCTAATAGAGATTGGTGTGCATTTTAGATCATTTACCAATATTGCCGGTCTCTATTTACTAAATTACATCCCCACCTAGAGCTTAAAATACCTCTGGACTTGACAACAATATTTCTTTGGGTAGAGGAAAGAAAATGAAACAGAATCCCTGCTTAGACAGGAACAACTGGCTTGCAATATTTAATCAGAATATATATATATATATAATATATATATATATAGAGAGAGAATATGACAACAGTAACACTTTGTTAATTATATGTATTTTAAAATCTTCAAGAAAAAAAATTAAGGGATGGGAAGGGGAAACAAAGAGGAGGCAACAATGCTTGATAGGAAATGTACTTGTTATCTTGCCCATGTAATTGTAACTCCTCTGTACGGTATTCACACAATAAAAAAAAAAGAAAGAAAAAAAATTAAACGTTCTTTTGCAACTTATTCAAATTTCACTACTTAATTTAATTTTGATTAATTCAAAAGTGTTTCCATTTGGGCTGAGTATAGAAGTAGCTTTGCAGTTATGTTGGCCCTAGAATAAAGTTGATTACTGGAACAATTGCCCTGCCAATCCACATAATCCAATGGCTTGTTTTTGTCATGGCAATTTGGATGTTATCCTGCAAGGTAAACTAGTACCAAGAGAAGTTCTGATGGGTCTTTCCTTTTAGAGAGTTAGGTGCATGACTACCTAACATTTGCTGATCGTTTTCACCATTAGCCATTATATTCCCAGGAATCAATAGTTTGAACTTCTACATACATACAACATAACAACAACAAAAGCAATGAATCCCCAAATCTTCCCAGAAGAACTAAAAGCAACATAACACAAACCTGTCTCAAAATGCTCCTTATCGGCTTGTATTTATTTCACGTTACATTGTGAAGCAATAACATCTGTATTCTTTTCTTGTTAAAAAGTTTTAGCAAGGATTTATTTTAGTATAACAGGGTAAAATAGAAATAGAAAAACAAAGAACTATTTTCTGTTCCCCACACAGGAAATGGGAGTTAAATAATTTAAATTCTGTATTCTTTAAAGATCCTTCACTTGAAAGATTGTTAAGCCTAATATGTGCAACTTTTCATTCCTCTAGGTCTTAGAATATTAGAATTTGCTTTTTATAAAAATGTATACTTTAATCCCTGACATTATATTAGGCACTTTGTTAATACATGCAAGTCACATTCTATTTCTGCTTTTACTGTATTATTTGAATTCCACTTTTTTTTTTTTTAATGCCTGAACTGGGGCTTGAACTCAAGGCCTGAGCACTATCCCTCAACTTTTTTTGCTCAAGGCTAGTGCTCTACCATTTGAGGCACAGCTCCTCTTCTGGCTTTTTGGTGGTTAGTTGGAGATAAGAATCTCGTGGATTTTTCTTTCCTAGGCTGGCTTCAAACCAATTGTCATATCTCAACCTCCTCAGTAGACAGAATTACAGGCCTGAGCTACCAGCACCCTGGTTAGCACCACTTTTAAATGAAGAGTCATCCAATTTTGCTACTGAATATCCTCTCACCAACCCAAATCTTAACATGTAGCAGAGGGAATGAGATATTTTTTCTTCTTGTATCCCAGTCTTTGTCTGTTCTATTCTAGCATCAGCCAAATCTGATATAAACCTCCACACCATCCACACAAACACCATGCTGACTTTACTGCTGCTAGTAAGTGGCAGCGATAAAACAACCTTTGATGCTTGTCAGTGTGTTGATTATGTGACTAACTGCTTGAATTTATGCAACTGCTTTTCATTAAAGTGAGTGTTATTTCTGGGGCTGTAAATGCAATGAAGCAACTGGATGCTATCACCTGTCCCACATCATACTTCTCATTTTTTATGAAACTTAAATGATGGAGAGGATGAGAGAGAAACAATACCCACTCTCTGAGTATAGTAAAAATGAAATTTGAGTATAAAAGCTCAACTGAAAAGTACCTTCAATACATTATATTTACTGCTCTTTTCTTAAAAAATCTTCACATCTGTGAAATCTGATTCTCTGCTTAATCTGTGTTTCCTAATAATGCCAAGGTACATTTCAAAGATTTATCAAACTCTACCTGGTCATGAATATAAGAGGTGATGGTACTTCTGGTTTCACGAAGCCAAGCACAAGTACTACATAAAACTCACTGATGCACACATTGTAGCCCTCCAGGGCCGTCATAAATTTCAAATCATCCATTTCCACCAGGTTGTTTTAAACAGCTGTAAGCTGCTGGGTGCCACTTTTTCTGCAATTGAATGGATGGATGTCGACACATTGGCTACCACCAACCAGCTCTATATTCCCTTGTGAAATAAGCTGCGATCAAGTTTTCACCTATCTGTGGATATTTCCATGGGGGAGGGAGGATTAAGATAGGTGGCTGAAGTTTTGTGTCTTTTGAAAGGGAAATGATTGGATTTGGTTTCTGAGACTCTGAGATAACTCTGCAATTCACCTGTCCAATGAACAAGGTAAAAGGAATCTTAGAATCCTTGAGATTAATCTACTGACTCTGATTCCTTTGCAGACCACAGATGACATCCTGGTGGCCTCCGCAGAGTGTCCTAGCGACGATGAGGACATTGACCCCTGTGAGCCGAGCTCAGGTGGGTTAGGTTAGTCGAATTTTTTTTTCTTACTTCCTTGGCTTTACTGTTGCATGATACATTTTTTAGAAGAGCCTGCCTTCGCATGTAGAAAGATACAGTGGTGTATTGAGAGAGAAGGGCCTTTGCTTCTCTTGTGGATGATTCTTTACCCCTCCTTTTAAGAAAAAGTGTGTTTTAAAAAAAATAATACCACCAAGAATATATATTTCAAGAAAGCAATGGGTGACAGCGTACTGAGTGCTACCTTAATACTTACTCTCCATGCATTCCTGACATAATTTTCCATACAACAGTATAAGGGGCTTTCCTTGGGGTTGCTGAGTAAAATTGTCAGGCTAAATAAAAACAAAAATTACTATGCACTGTGCAAAATTATTTGACCTTTCTACGGACAAAAAGTCCCCAGCATTCACTTTGCCAGCAAATTATCTTAAGTGATATATTTCCAAATTGTGGAAACAATTTTATTATGGCTGAAATGAAAAAAACAGCAGGTTAGACCTTGAGAGATTAACGGAGAAAGTTTGGTGAATTGCCTTTTTTCTGTCAAATTCAAGCTGATTGTCTTTATTGATAGATGATGCATAATTTCTCCTCCTCTTTATGATGTTTGCATCCCTTCTCATGTGACTGACAGGTAAATACTGTTTCCATACGAAAGGTTTGTGCCACTTAATGGAGACTGAGGACTCTAAAAATAAATGAATCGCAGTCTGGATTTGATTCCAGATATTAAGAATACCAAGAATTCGAGTCCTTTCCATTTCTTTTGTGAAGTGCTTAAAATAATTTCCTTACTTGTGATAAGACCCAGCACGATCCGCTAGCTCATGGTTTTCATGAACATTACCAAGAAGCTTGGGAGAACTACTGGCCACCACAGAATAATTTGCATTCTTGGTAATCTTGGTATTTTTTACATAAACTCATTCATTCTGATATTCAAAAAGAAAATAATCCTGGAGGCCCAGACTCCATTTTCTCTTATTGAATCTTTCTACTTCATTCAACATGGCTACTAGATTCAAGCACTTAGGAGCAGCTGCTGTGTAATGTGGGGAGCAGGAACTCTCAGTCAGCACCAGTGGGGTGGGGTAGGTATGACTGGCTGTGTACCTACCTCCTTCCTAGACTCCAGCCCGTAGACAGAACTCTCAGCTCCCCAAACATCAGTCGTGGTTAATTCTTACATCTCTGATGATCAGATATTAATGTCTCCTGCCTCATTGATCTCTACAGTCAGTTCTTCTTGGTTATATAGACAGATCTGGTCCTTGGCCATCTCATAACACCATCCTGTGACCCTTGGCCCTTGTATTTGTTTTTCTTGGTATTCTTACTATTCTGTATGCCACTTAAAAAATGGGGAGGCATTGCTTTTTCTGTCATGATATTTCTTCCATTTCTCTGCCTTTTCCCACCCTCAGTTTCTGCCCCCCCCCCATTACTCCTACATTCATAGGCCCAACTCCAATCTTTCTGGCATTAATCCTTCACACCAGGATATTCTTCTGTCTCATTTTCTCTGACATCTGCTATTTTGTTCTGTTTCATCTTCTCTGACATCCTACCTTGAGATTTATTTCAAAATACAAGTCTAGAGAATGTGTGTGTAGATTATATATCTATCTCTATCAATATATATTTATATTTATATATATATGTGTGTGTGTGTGTGTGTGTAGTTGAGTTTGCTTGCATAAATTAGTGTGCTTTTGAAGATGGTCTTTGTCAGCAGTTTATATGCTACACAAACATTAATGAGACTGTAATTACAGATCTTTCTGGTTTTCCTCTGGCCTGTACTCCACTTTGCTGGCTGAATCTAGGCTATCATTGTCTTTACACAGAGGCCTTATAAGTAGCTAGTACTCCAATAGTACTTAAACTGTTGCTTTTTCATTTCTCTTAAGCTAAATGAGTCAATTATTCCATCCTTGTTTATAGGAATCCATCATTTTTTCGAAATTGACTAGATCAGAGTCCCTGACTTTCTCTGTGGAAACTGGACCTAAGAAACAGGATGATAGAGTGGAAGGAAAAGACATGAAGGAAAGGAGAAAAATAAGGAGATCATTCCTTCCTTCAGTGTTTTACCTCTTACTCTTTAGTTTTGAAGCCATCAATTCCTGTTGAAATTTCAAATTTTGTCATAAGCTGGTCTTCTCCCCTTACACCTTATCCCTTCTCCTTAGTCTTGAACGTGTATTACCATTGTTAGGAAAGGGAGTGGTGAGGGTATTAGAATAAAGAAAGAGCAAACAACGAACTCAACAAAGCAGATCAACTTTAATGAAGAGTTGAAGAGTTAATGGATGTGCTATGATGACCCAAGGAAAGTCATGAGACAGAAGGCATGGCATGCTGGGGGCTGGGATGGAGGGACTTGAGTAGTATCCTGGGTGAAGGTGGCTGGGAGTATAAAGGTTTCCAGACAGGCTTTGCAAGTTTTTGGTTCTGGCCTGAAGTAATTTAGGCAGGCCTGGTTCTACAAGCCTGTTATGCAAATCCACAGAGCAGATCTTGATTCAGCTAGGTGTGGGCCGCTTCAAGAAATTCAAGTGTCCTTTACCTGGAGAGGTGGGAGAGTGGACTTTCACATTTTTGAAATTGCAGATTCCCATCCACCACAGTCAGATTCTCTTTCCCCGTTGCATCTTGCATGTGAAATCTCTTTCTCCTTTGGCTTTTCTGTCTACCTCCCCATGATTTTCTCCATCCCTTCTTTACTACCACCTGGCTACAAAATACTTAGTTATATGATATTTATTTCTATTCTTCCAATTATTATTTAAGAAGAAGGATATTTTCTTTTATCTTGCTTGAATCTGAATGTCAGTTCCACTGTAAGATCCCTCTCTTAAGGCCTTTGTTCACAAATGTACTCATTTTCCAGCATCTCTTTGCTACTTTTCTATTTGTTGAAAACACATCTACATGCATAAAATAATTTCATCAATAATTACCATTGCTCAAGTTTGGAGGTCTTGGGTACTGTGAGATAGATATTGACAAAAATAATTTTTGATAAAAGATCAAGTTTTGGAAAAGTGACTTTTTAGAAGACTAATATACTGAAGTATGTTTTCAGAAATGAACGTTTTTGTCTTCTCTGAACATACTTTAAAAAATTCTCTAAGTAACTGAAAATAGTTATTTCCAATAAGTGAAATATATTTTTTTAAGTTCATTGCCCTAATCTTCTGGATATTTCACCCTCCCTGGGATTTACACATGAAAGTTTTCTCTTCACTCAGACCTAACCCCAATTTCAAAAATAGCATTTCCAATGCAAATGTACCATGCTCTCGTTATTCCTAAGGCTGCTAATGAAACAAATAAGTACAAAAAAAAAATCCTAGCCTCTTCTTGAACACCAATAAATTACACCTTTTATCAAGTGTTCCATAAGTTCAAATTACAGTATGGTTCCACTTAGAACTCTTAATGAAGAGGAGAGTTTTTTAGTTATCAATTCTATTATTGTTCGAATATTATTGAGCCCTAATGTAAAACCACTTCTGTGCCAAGCCCAGAGAGCAAAAATGGAGTTTATGCCTGGAATTTTCTTCTATCAAGGGGGTATTCTACCCTACATCCCATTTTAGTTACATTTTTTATTTTTTTTTCTTTTCTGTTTTTTTTACCTTGGGCAGTAAAATATCACTTAATTTTTCAAGAGTGCTGCAAGAATTAAAATTAACATATTCAATGTACTTACTATAATACCTGGCATAAAGTACAGCACAAATGACAGTTTTTCTTTTCCTCACTTCAGTTACATAAAAATAAAATTCTAGTTATTTTTTCCCCCTTTATATAATGCTGTTGCTTTTCCTGGCTGAAAATTGAATGGGTAACTGATGAAAATACTCAGGCCTCCTGATGGGAAGTAGACAGAACTGGACCTGTAGAAACTAGAGCAGGCATGACCCCCTGAGTGACAGCATATGGAACTTGGCTATACTTGCTTCCAGCTACCCTGTCCTGCATGATGATCCCTGAATGAGAAGGCCACATTGGTAAGGAGACCATGCAATTCAGGCATGTGCCTGAACCCCAAATATGATGTCATATACAGAAGAGCAGCAGTCACGGGTCCTTACGTCACAAACCACCATTGTCCTAAGTTGCCTGGCTTAGGCTGCTAAACACATGACAGAAGGATGACCTTTTCCTTACAGTTTCTCAGAAAAACAAAAACAAACAAACAAACAAAGCTTGCTTCTTGCTCCTTCTGTGGTTGTTCCTCAGCCAAGATACATGATTGCCAAAATGAATGTATTAATATATAAAAGCAGGCTGAAGAACATACTTGCTTATAAGTTGTGTTCATTGTTCCTTGTTAATTACCATGCATATTCTACACATACATACGTATTTTTGCCACCTCTCTTTTTTATTCACATCAATGGTCTTGCTATGGCATCCAGCTTGACCTCCCTGCTGGAATTTTGATCCTGTGCCACCACAGTTGTCTGAGTTTGGTTCTATTTCTGTATAAAACCTTTTCTCAAACCTCATAGGAGTGCTTAGAAAAAGTATTTTTATGTGGAGATCAAGAACCTCAAATGAAAATAATGAATTTCTCAGCCTGGGAGCCTCCCGATGATTATCTCCAATTTGCCATTTATTACCAAAAGAAGAGATTGAGCTTCCTGTTTCTAGGGGCTCCCCCTTAGGTTTCAAATTCTCTTGACATTTGGGAAGTGGGTAGCTTATAGAAGAGTACGCCAATTTCCAATCAATTACATCTTTGGCTTAAATGAGAACATTGGAAGCTCTACTAAATAATAGACTATCTGATTCATCCCAAGAAAAGAGGATCATTCCATTTTGGTGACATCCTTTACACGTTAGCTGAGCCAGTGGAGATTGGAGATGTGGTGATTAGTAAAGCTCCTCAAAGTGAAACCGGGGTTTTTAGACACAAAGCCCGAACTCCAGGAGTTCCACATGTCAGATCCACTCTCTACTGTCTGCTAAATAAAGAGACATGGTGAAGG